GCTGGCTTCTCAGAAAATTTCTCTTGTTAACATGTGATGAAAAACTCAGTGCAAGGAGGATATAGTAGAACTAGCTACACTTAAGAATTAGTGAAATAAGGGGTACCTGGGTGGTTCAGTCAGTTAAGCGTCTGACTTCGGCTCAGGTCATGCTCTCACGGTTTGTGAGTTCAAATCCCACGTCAGGTTCTGTGCTGACAGCTCAGAGCCTGGAACCCTGCTTTGGATTCTGTGTCTCCCTCTGTCTCTGCTCCTCCCCCGCTTGTGCTCTGTGTCTCTCTCTCTCTCTCTCAAAAATAAATAAACATAAAAAAAAAGAATTAGTGAAATAATTGTTTTTCTACCTCTTTTTGTGACAATTCTTAGCTTTAGACACATCTGCAGAAGATTGCGAATTCCATCCTAATTTTCCTACCCTATCCAGCAGTCCTCTCTTGGGCTGCCTTTTCCTATTGCCTAGGTTTTTATGCTCAGGAAATCTCAACAAAACAATTTTGGAGGGTTAGTCTGGCATATAATTTATCATCTTGTGCATGCAAACCAAGTAATAATGACTTTAGGATTGTTTAGTGTTTTATCACTGCCTTTTGTTTTCTGCATTCACATAGTGTCTATCATATTCTTGGCTCTATTCCTTGTCCCACAGTCTGTTCTCCTCTATTCCAAATTAACTTTTTTTTTTAATGTTTTATTTATTATTGACAGAGAGAGACAGAGCATGAGCGGGGGAGGGGCAGAGAGAGAGGGAGACACAGAATCGGAAGCAGGCTCCAGGCTCTGAGCCGTCAGCCCAGAGCCCAACGCGGGGCTCAAACTCGTGAACCACGAGATCGTGACCTGAGCTGAAGTCGGACGCTTAACCGACTGAGCCATCCAGGCACCCCCAAGTTAACTTTTGACGCCAACTACATTATAGCACTTACCACCTTTGACCGTTAGATCCTAACCGTTTCTGCCTTCAAATTGGGCCATTCATCCATCTGTCCATCTATTATACATCCATTCACCACATATAGTGAACAAGACATAATCTTTGCCTTCAGGAGGTCTATAGTCTAGAAGAGGGCTCGGACCAGGTAGGTGCAGTACACTGTGGTAATTGCCGGGGTAGGGCTCAAGTCCAGAGGGTTTTGGGGAAGATACAGCAGGAGCACCAAACTGAGTCTTTTTAAAAAAAATTTTTTTTTTTTTAACGTTTATTTATTTTTTTGGGACAGAGAGAGACAGAGCATGAACGGGGGAGGGGCAGAGAGAGAGGGAGACACAGAATCAGTAACAGGCTCCAGGCTCTGAGCCATCAGCCCAGAGCCCGACGCGGGGCTCGAACTCACGGACCGCGAGATCGTGACCTGGCTGAAGTCGGACGCTTAACCGACTGCGCCACCCAGGCGCCCCTTTTTTTTTTTTTTTTTTTTTTTTTTTTGAATTTTTTTTTTTTTAACGAAACTGAGTCTTGAGGAATTGGAGTTCTTGAGAAAATGAAAAGCCAAGCTGAGGTCTGAAGCAGTTGTGGAAACTAACTAAGCAAGAAGCAGAGAAGGCACGTTCTGGGCACCAAAACCAACATTTGAAAATACCTGGGAGAGAAAAGTCTGTTTAAACACTGATAGGAAAAGTGGATAGAAAGGAAGAGGTGGGTTACTCAGGTGTCTGAAGGGTTCCTTTTCCTTACCGTGGTTCTGAGGGCAGAATTTTCAAGTCAGACAGACTAAGGTTTGAGTCCTTACTTGTGAGACCTTTCCTCATCATCCTATTTAAAATAGCTGCCTTCTTGTCCATTCTCTAGTCCCCTTTGTCACTTTATTTTTCTCTACTTATCACCATACGATGTACTTTATATTTTACTTGTTTATTTGTCCATTGTTCATCCCTCTCCCAATTGTAAATTTAATGTGAATCGTGATTCTTTTCACTATTTTATTCACCACTATAGCATCTGAAATAGTGTCCGCAGAAAGTAATTGATCCATAAATTTTTGTTGAAAAAATAAACTCAGTTCCCCTCTATTACTTTGTTATATGACTTTTGGCAACTTAACCACTCAAAGCCTTGATTTTCTCATTGGTTAAATAGGAATAACATCTAATGAGGAGGAAATGAAACAATTTATGTAAAATAGCCAGTATAATATGATTCTGCAATTCTCTGTGTGAAATCTTTGTGGACCAAATGTAGGTTGGAATTCAGAATTGTTCATATTTTAGGAAGATAGTAAGGAGCATATATTATACATTATATAGCAACACTTAACCTCTAGTGAGCAGCCCAGAACCTAATAGTAACGTTTCTGCAGCAACATATTCACACCTAAATGGGATAAATGAAAACCCTATAGCAGCTTCACATCCAATCAGGTCAAATTTTGCCTCTGAAAGAGTTCAGTCAGGTTTCTGCATCAAATTGGTTATAGAATAACTTTCGTTTTTCAGAGCTTTATGGATTTTGGAACATGGATATGTGATTGTGGACCTGTGCCTGACACACAGTAGGTGTTCTATAAATGTCCCCTTTCATTTTTTTTCTGTCACATAGTTTCTAAACATATCTGGGAGAATGGGTTCTACAAAGGCAGGAAGCATTCTCTGTTTTATTCACAAATATATCTCAAGTGCCCAGAACACTGTCTGTGACATAATTGGTGCTCAATAAATATTGCTGGTTAAACAAAGGAAATATCATGTTTATGGAATAAAATGTTAATAATTATTATCAAAGTAGAAACATCCAATTTTAATTATTTTTATCATAAAGAAGACCGCAAAACAGATTTTTGTTGATGTGTGATTATAAATAGATTTCTATAATCTTATACAGTGTCTTCTCTCTTTTTTTTTTTACTTTGTTCATTTAACAAATGTTGAATACTGTCATTATTTTTTTTTTTAAGTTTATTTATTTTGAGAGAGAGAGAGAGAGAGAGAGAGAGAGAGAGGAGCATGTGTGAGGGAGGGGCAGCGAGAGAGGGAGAGAGAGAGAATCCCAAGCAGGATCCGTGCTGTCAGCACAGAGCCCAAAGTGGGGCTCGATCTCATGAGCCATGAGATCATGACCTGAGTTGAAATCAAGAGTCAGGTGCTTAATCAACTGAGCCACCTGGGTGCCCCTGAATGCGATCATTATAAAAGGAGGGCAAAGGCTCATTTATTCCAGAAATATTTACTGAGAACCTATCCTGTATCAAGCACTGTGATGGCTTATAGGTTCAGTAGTAAAATAAGATCAATCATGTCTCAGAACTTTAAGTCACTCTGCAGTTCTTTAGCTGCCAGTGAACAATTATTTCTTAGCTCTTTATCCTGTTGCTACTTCAGGCGACTCACACATGGAACACATCTAAAGTCATACAGTACTCCACAGAAGATGTTTAAAATGTTACTGTATTCTAGTGAAGGAAAATTAGTAAGTTTGGGGGAGAATATTAACATTTAAAAGTATTAGTGTTCTCTGCTCCAGTCAGAGTATTTTATTTCTTCGTATTCTTTAAAGACTGTGGGCTTAAATCTGTTAACACCTTTAGTTAGCTATGTCAGTAATCTTTAAAAGTATGCTCATCAGAATGAAAATTGGGTGTAACAAACATTTTTGGGTCCTGTGATGTACATTATTATGAGGTTTTATCTTTCTTAGAGTGACACAGATGAGTTCTCTTTAGAATAGCCAAACTGAGTTAATTTGCATTGACGTTGAAACCATAGAGTACTTGTAATTGTTTTATATGCACTAAATATTGCTGTGATATTTGGTGAGGTCTGCATTATGTGACAATAGAACTCTTGGAATGCAGTGTGTATTAAATTAACCTTAGCTACGACATACTTGGGAAAAGTTTTGGAATTTCTTGGTGCACTTAAGAGTACTATAAAATTATTCTCACTCTCTCATTCTAGCTTCAGTGTGTGCTCTGTCCTTCATCCATGATTGTTACGGGCTTTGCTACTTCTCTGTAGTTGGGATAAAATGCACCAAGGACATTCTCATGGCCAACTCTCCATAGGCTGGAGAGGTTAAGGGAATGGTCTGTGGTCAAAAAAGAGAATGAAGCAATAACCTTTAACGGGATAAGCTATCATTTGATACTGAGGAAATAGTCCACAGACAGTTCTTCTTAGTATTCTAATAAGTAAAAAATTAGAGATATTTCCTGAAGTTCTTCCTTGAAATTTACTTTATAACACACTCTCTTGTTCACAGCATAAACAAATGTAAAAATTACTATGAAGTACTTGGAGTTACCAAAGATGCTGGTGATGAAGATTTGAAAAAAGCTTATAGAAAGCTTGCTTTGAAGTTTCATCCAGACAAAAACCATGCACCTGGAGCAACAGATGCTTTTAAAAGTAAAGTAAACCTTTTAAAGCAGTTTTACTAAGCTCTTTGTAGAATCCACTTTACAGTGTTTTAGAATATTAAATTCTGCCTTTAGACTGGTTCATTTAGAAGCCAGCTTAAGCAAGTGTCCTCAAAATCCTTTAAAACTTTATTATTAATTTGTTATACCAAGAGCCAAACAAATACAGTGTGGCTTCACAAGAGCAAAATGCCAGTTTGGGCGAAGTCGTAAGTAACTTTTCTAGATAATCATGCATGCTTTCTAGTTTACTACACTAGTGTGTGGTATACATAAGCTTCTAGTGCATTACCATCTGCTTCCAAGGGTACTGAAACAAAACATAGCTTTTGCGAGTTTTTAGGATAATAGAGACTGTCTAAAATTGGGAAATTGCTTGGGAATTTCTGTTTGCCCAGTGTTGTTATATTTCTGTTAACTGGCCAATTTTTGCATTTTTTTGTATGTGGTTCTAACTATGGTGATTTTTTTTTTTCTTTTTAAGAATTAGTATCTTGGGGCACCTGGCTGGCTCAGTTGGTGGAGTATGCAACTCTTGATCTTGGGGTCATGAATCTGAGTCCCACCTTGGGCATAGAGCTTACTTAAAAAAGTCTTTTTCCTTTTGCCTACTCATTCTTCCTCATTTTCTTAATATTATTTCAAGGTTTTTTGTGGTTGTTGTTGCCGGTTTCATGAATGAATGTCACCTCATTTTATAATTTCGTATTTTGTTACATGCAATTTGTTCATAGTAGTTAACTTCTAATTCATAGGAAAATGCTTAAATTTGTCATTGCCCCCAGGAGCCTGGTGGCTTGGTCGGTTAAGTGTCTGACTTCAGCTCAGGTCATGATTTTGCGGTTTGCGGGTTTGAGCCCCACGTCGGGCTCTGTGATGACAGCTCAGAGCCTGGAGCCTGCTTTGGATTCTGTGTCTCTCTCTCTGCCCTTCCCTTGCTTGTGCTCTGCCTCTCTCTCTCTCTCTCAAAAATAAACAAACATAAAAAATTTTTTTTAAAAATTTGTGATTGTTCTTCTTGAGAATTAGGCATTTTTACAGTCAGCATATCATGTTTGCAGTGAAACGCTGGGGTCTTGGAATAACAGGATGGAGACACTAATTTTTAAAATGCTCCTAAAACATAGATGATTCCATTGGTCTTTCACAAAATACTGTTGATATTATTTACAAAACAGTTTTATTTCTTGAAGGAAGCTGCCAAGTCCAGTGTATTTTGGCAATTAATATATTCCAATAAAAGCAGCTGCCAAAGTGGTGCCGGTAGAAGTAAAATATCCCTGTGACACTGAGCACCTTCTCTGTTTTCTTCAGTTAAAAGTGGCATCTTGAAAATAGAGAAAATGTTTCTTTACTCCAAAGCACTAACTTTAGCACATAATGTGGAAAAAAAATAATTTTTTTTTCCACATTATGAATTAAAATCATTTAATTTAAAATTGTTGTTGTTGTTTTCAGTTTTATTTAAGTAATCTCTACACCCAACATGGGGCTCAAACTCATGACTCTGAGATCAAGAGTCACACGGTCTTCCAACTGAGCCAGCCAAGCACCCCAAATTGTTGGTGCTTTTAAATAGTGAAAAATATCTTGGCAGTGAGTTATTTGCATGTTTGTGATCTGCTAAGTGATTCCAGTTTTAATTCTTCATTAATATTAAAAATGTTAAATTGCTCGTTCCTCTCACTTCATATTGAAGTCGTGTTAGCATTATTAGTCTTGAAATAACAGTGAGTGGATCTACCAATATTTTTACATGTTATGTTACATTTCGAAGGGGTGAGCAGCATAAACGTCACTCCAGCTAGACATTCGGAAGGAACTTGACAAAGGTGATTATACTTTGATGTGGTACATTTCAGAGTCTAATGCTCCGCTTTGTAAACTAGAAACTTAATATTTATCAACATGCTGGGAGGTGGTTCCTCTCTAGAGGAGAGGCTCACATTATTCAGTACACAGGAGGTTATCTGTAAATCAGAATGCCAATTTATTAATCCCAAAGAGGATCAGAATAGGGAATTGGTTGATGAGCGCGTTTTTCATTGAGTGGGTGGAAAACTAGGTTGTAATTCACAGATGCTTGGTGTGCAGAGGTAGTTAATTAGAAGACATTACGGCTAGTGTCATCATACAGAAATCATTTATTCAGCACCCAGGATCTTTTCATTATCTTCTGAATCCTCTTAAGTTTATTTATTTATTTTGAGAGAGAGAGCAGGGGAGGGGCAGGGAGAGAGAGGGAGAGAGAGAATCTCAAGCAGTCTCTGCACTGTCAGCACGGAGCCCAACGAAAGGCTCGATCTCATGGCCTGAGCCAAAACCAAGAGTCGGTCACTTAACAGACTGAGCCACACAGGCGCCCCTCATTTTATTTTATTTTTAACCAATTGATCCTAACTTCTGTTTTTGGGATACTAAGCTGTTTGTTTTAAGCAAATATTAATAGTTTTTTCTTTTGTATGAAAGGTAAGTATAGATTGATTGCTCTGTAACTGCCAAAAGACATTTTACAGAAGATGGACACCATTTGCTTTTTATTTCCTTCAAGAATAAAAAAGAGGAGGTAATCAGTTTCGGGAATTAAATTAGAGAGAAGAGATATTTTCATTTGTGTGGGTCTTTTGTTTTGTTTTGTTTTTTAAATAAGCTCAATGCCCAATGTGGGGCTTGAACTCACGATCAAGAGTCACACACTTTACTGGGTGAGCCAGCCAGGTACCCCTTCATTTGTGTGTTTTGTAAAGCTTTAAAAATAAAAGATAGGTTGCTATCAAGGAGGATAGACTAAACGAACTCTTAAGTTCTTTACAGTTAGGATTGTAACTGAAGTTTCTCAAAGCAGGGAATATTTTGTTTACATCTAGAGAGTAAATTGCACAGTATATATGAACATACTTTAAAAAAATATTTGAATGAAATGGATCCCTTTCCTTCTGTCTGATGTGGATGTCTTCAAAATATACCCCGTCTACTTTATCTTCAAAGACTCCCAAGTATTTCAGAGACCGTTTGAACAATACCTATACTGTATATATAGTTATACACCCTGACCAAGTAGAGTTTATTCCAAGAATGCAAGGCTGATGTTTGAAAAATCAGTCAGTGTGACCCACTATATTAACAGGCTAAAGAAGAAAAATCTCATGATTGTATCAATCAGTGTGGGAAAAGCATTTGAAAAATTTCACCACTCATTTGTGATAAAAATTAACAGAAAAAAAGCCCTGACAGAATAAATAGGAATAGAAAGGCCTTGCGTCAAATTGATAAAAGAGCAACTACAGAAAACACTATACTTAATGGTAAAAGACTGAATGCTTCCCCCCAAGATTGAGAACAAAGCTAGAATGTTTCCTTTCACCACACTTATTCAGTATAGTGTTGGAAATTCTAGTCAGTGCATTAAGGTGAGAAAATAAAAGAGATAAATATTATAGGAAAGAGATAAAACTGTCCCTGTTTACAAATGATCTAATTATAAAAAATCTCAAGAATGTACCTCACCCCCAAATTTTTAGAATCGATATATATATTCTGCAAGATTTTAGGATACAAAAAGCAGTTTTTCTCTTTAGAAATATTTGGTACATTTCAGTATACTAGCAGTGAATATATAGATACAAATTAAAAATTCATTAAATTAGTAATCAGAAACTCCCAAAAAGAAATCAGATGCCTTTCCTGGAGAATCCTACAGAACTTTTAAAGAAAAATTTAAACTAATTCTACGGTCTCTTCCTGAAAATAGAATCAATGTAATCAAACACATACACACAAGAAATACTTAGGTGTAAATTTAACAAACCTTTTACAGGATTTTTATGCTGAATGCTATTTAATACTAGTGAAAGAAATCAGAGAAGATGTAAATAAATGGAACAATATATCATGTTCATGGATTGGAAGACAGCATAGTAAAGATGTCAGGTGTCATCAAATTGATATGCGTATTTAACACAGTTCCTGTCAAAATCCTAGGAAGCCTTTTTTTTTTGTAGATTAAAGTAAGTTTGCTCTAGAACTCATATGGAAAGATAAAGAACCTGAATAAATAAGAACAATTTACTAAAAGAATGGAGTGGAGTCATCAGTTTATCTAATTTCAGGGCTAACTTTATAGCTACAGTGGTCAAAAGAGTGTGGTATTGGCAGAGGGATAGACAAATAGATTAGTGGAACAGCATGGGAAGCCCCGATATTGACCCATACAAATATACCTAACTGGCTTTTGACAAAGGTGCAAAAGCAATTTAACAGAGGAAGGATAGACTTTTCAGCAAATGGTTTTGGAGCAATTAGATATTCATAGTTGAAAAGAGTTAACTTTGACCTAAATCTTATACTTTTTACAAGAATGAACTTGAAATAAATCATAAACTATAAAACGCTTTTTAACTCTTAGCAAAAATCATGGGAGCAAATCTTTAGGATCTTAGGCTAGACAATAATTTCTTATACTTAACACCAAAAGCACAGCTTATAAAAGGAAAAGTTGATAATTTGGATTTCATAATTTTTTTTTTTTTTAAAGTTTGCTCTGTAGAGACCTTATGAAGGATGAAAAGACAAATACCAGGATGGGAGAAAATATTTGCCAAACACATATCTGGAAAAGACTACTATCTAAAATATATAAAGAACTCCTCAGACTCAAAAATTTAAAAACAGACAATTCAATAAAGAAAATGAGTAAAAGACATTTCACTGAAGATGACAAATGGAAAGATACAAATGGAAAATAAGCAATGAAAAGATATTTAACATCATTCATTAGCCTTTAGAGATAGTGTAAAGTAAAACCAAATGAGATATCACTGATGACTAAAATAAAAAATAGTGACGGGGCACCTCAGCGGCTCAGTTGGTTAAGCCGCCAACTTCGGCTCAGGTCATGATCTCATAGTTCATGAGTTCAAGCCCCACGTCTGGCTCTGTGATGACAGCTCTGAGCCTGGAGGCTACTTCAGATTCTGTGTCTCCCTCTCTCTCTGCGCTTCCCCTATTTGCTCTGTCTGTCTCTCTCTCTCTCTCTCTCTCTCTCTCTCTCAAAAATAAATAAAACGTTAAAGAAATTAAAAAAAAAAAGTGACAACATCTTTGGTGTTAGATGTGGATGTGGAGAAATTGGATCACTCATACATGGTGGATGGGATGTAACATGACACAGTCATTCTGTAAAATGGTTAGTTTGGCAGGTTCTCGAAAAACTAAATATTCAGCGACCATACAACCCAGCAGTTGCGTTCCTGGACATTTATCCTAGAGAAATGAAAGTTTATGTTCACACGTAAACCTGTACATGAATGTAAATAGCATTTTTATTCATAATACCAAAAACTAGAAACAACCCATTCAGTGGGTGAATGACGAAACAAACAGTGGGACATCCATACCATGAAGTACTACTCATCAATGAGAAGGAATGAACTGTAGTAGTCCCTTCTTACCTGCAGGGGTTATGTTCCAAGACCCCCAGTGGACTTTTGAAACCACAGATAGTACTGAACCCTGTATATACTGTGTTTTTTTTTTTTTTCTATACATACATACCTGTGATAAAGTGTAATTTTATAAATTAGGCACAGTAAGATATTAACAACAATAACAATAAAATACAATTTTAACAACATACTATAATGAAAGTTACGTAAATGTGGTGTCTCTCTCCCCCTCTCTCTCTCTCTCTCTCTCTCTAAATATCTTATTATTGTACTGCATTCACCCTTGTTGTGATGATGTGAGATGATGAAATGCCTACATGATAAGATGAAGTGAGATGAGTGAGGTAGGCATAGTGATGCAGCATCAGGCTACTATTGACATCTGATGATAAGTCAGAAGGAGGATCATCTGCTTCCACACCATGGTTAAGGGTAACTGAAACCATGGATTGGAGGTAAAGGAGAGACTATGGTTTTGGCTTACCTAACAACCTGGATTGATCGCCAAAGAATTATGCTAATTGAGAAAAGCCAATCCCAAATGGTTTCATTCCATTTATATGCTGTATTATTTTTCTTATATAATATTCCTGAAATGCCAAAAATACAGAACTAGAGACTAGATTAGTGGTCGTTAGGGATTAAAGAGGGGATGGAAGGGAAGGAAATGGGTGTGGTTTTACAAGGGCAATGAGAGGATGCTAGTGGAAATGTCCGATATCCTGATTATATCAGTATCGATATCCTATTTGTGATAGTACTTTAATTTTACAAGATATTGCTCTTGGAGAAATTCGGTAGCAGGTACAAAGGATCTCTCTGTATTATTTCTTACAACCTCATGTAAGTTTAAAGTTACCTCAGAATGAAAGTTTGATAAGGGGCGCCTGGGTGGCTCAGTCAGTTAAAATCTGACTTCCGCTCAAGTCATAATCTCACGGTTCGTGAGTTCAAGCTCCACTTCGGGTGAGCTCTTGTCCCACTTTGGGTGAGCGGGAGCCCCACTTTGGGTTAGCCCCACTTCTCTCTCTCTCTCTCTGGCCCTCATGGGATATTCTCTCTCTCTGTCTCTCTCCCTCCCTCTCCCCCTCCACTGTCTCTCTCTCTCTCTCTCTCTCTCTCTCTCTCTCTCTGCCTCTCATGGGATTCTCTTTCTCTCTCTCCCTCTCTCTCTGCCCCTCACTCACTTGAGCCCTCTTTCTCTCTCTAAGAAAAAAAAAAAAAAAGAATAAAAGTTAAATTAAAGAGAAGAGAATATGGTGGAAGGTACCTTTGGTGAAGTAAGTGAGACTGGGGTAGAAATGTATTTTGTACAGCTTTTGAATACCAAAATAAATTTTGGGCTTAATTTTTTAGGTAATAAGGAACTGAAAAACAATTTTTATTATGGGTATAGAACAAAGTAAATGAACAGAAAATTAGAATAGATAAATTGTCTTACATATACAATTATGGGTTATGACAGTATTTCACATAGATTTTCTAAAATAGCTTGCTGTTTGGAAATTACTTTTTTAAAAAATAAAACCTGTTTTAAAATAGGATTGAGATGCCAATATATCAATGATTTAAAAAGTAACAGCATTATGAAATTACTTGGAATAGTCTATTTGTATATAGACTGATATTATTGGAAGTACAACTGATATTACTGGAAGTACAACTTTGGCAGATATTGATAGATATGCTTCTCTTTTAGGTATGGTTTAATACCTTGGTGTTGTTTGTAAGTACATTGTTTGGATCTCTGATCATGCTTTCCCGTTAGAGCAACATTATAAATCGTGGCTATATTTCTGAGTCATAGATCTATTTGAGAATCTAAAGAAAGGTTTGGATTATCTCCTTAGATAAATGGACCATCAAACTAATTTTTCATATACTGGGATTCACAGATTAATTCACAGATTAATTTCAGTGTGATATCTAATCATCCAAAAATAACTATCTAATGAGCATCTATTTGCTTGCACAGTACCTATGGCAGCTGCCACATGGGACCCAAAAAGTGTTTTTAAAATACCCCATATTGCAAAAGGTTTACAATCAACTTTAAGAAGCAAGCTGTATTTATGAAATGATTATTAGAAGTGTCAGAATGAGAATAGGGTAATTCCTGCTTGGATCAAAGCATTACAGCTTTTGTAAATTACCTCAAAAAGACATTTTTGTAACCAACATACCATTGCCTCTTTTGGACGTGGGAGTATGAGAAGGGAAATAGAATTCTTTATAAATAAATACCACAAACTTAGTGAAGTGAGATAGGAACACTAGAGACCATCTGGATCCATTCAGAAGCAAATTCAGATTTTACAAGTGCACCATGGGGATACTGCAGTGAAAACATAGACATTGTCCATACCCTCATGGAGTTTCCAGTGTTAAGAGGAATAAATTGTTCATGAATAGAATGAAAAATAGCACATTGTGGGCTGGCATGTGCAACAGTGTAGGTTGCATAGAGTATACTTACTGCGCTAACATTTTGACCTTGAACAAGTTTCTTAACCTTTTTGAGGCTCAGGAGGCTCATCTGTAATTTAGGGATAATAATGAATAATGTAATAAGATACTGTGTTCAAAGCCTGGCAGTTGGTCACTACTGTTACTATTATTGGTTTGAGTAGCTCTAATGAATGACTAAATTAGGGTATTCAAAAGGAAGAAGTAGGATATTAGGGGATGGACCATTAGTAGTAAGAAAGCAGGATGTACATTCCTTTATATGCAAGATAGTAAGGAGACTTACCATCTCATAAAAATTTGAATGGGAGGTAATAATATGTGTAATGGCAGGCAATGTATGTCTTTTTAAAAAATATATACGAAAATAAGTTATTAACTGTTTTACTATTTCTTGATTAGCCTTAAGTAGGATTTGTTGGTTTTTTTTTGTTTCTTGTCTGTATATGTGGGGGTTTTTTTGTTTGTTTTTCGGTTAACATGGCAGTAGCTTTTATATGGGGAAGTCTTTTATAGTATAAAAACTTTGCTTACCAACTGTTACTCATTACCTTTTCAGAGATTGGAAATGCTTATGCTGTTTTAAGCAATCCAGAAAAACGAAAACAATATGACCTCACGGGCAATGAAGAACAAGCATGTAATCACCAGAACAATGGTAGATTTAATTTCCATAGAGGTTGTGAAGCTGATATAACTCCAGAAGACTTGTTTAATATATTCTTTGGTGGTGGATTTCCTTCAGGTATTTTAATGTTAGTTATAAATATTATATTTAATGAAGCTAGAGATTCTCACCTCCAATTAGGCTACGTAGAGATTTATCTACTTTCTCTGCTACATTTCTTATTATGTATTATGTATTATGATCCTCCGATGACTTTTCATGAAGGTAGAAAAAAATGTTAGATTTATTACCTTCAATGTAAGTCTGACTTTTTTCTAGAACATGTTTTAATTTTTTTAAAAAAGAAATGAGTACAGATATTCTCTATTTTATATAAAGCTGAAGAAAGGATATATAAATAGGAGATCCAGTGGCAGTGTCTTAATTAAGTGCTATTACAATTACAGGAGGTATCATATACCCTAGATGACAATTTGACATTGGTTCTCTGAAGATCTTTGTAGACATTTCATTCATCGCATTATAAATTGCTAGTTTAGGGGCGCCTGGGTGGCGCAGTCGGTTGAGCGTCCGACTTCAGCCAGGTCACCATCTCGCGGTCCGTGAGTTCGAGCCCCGCGTCGGGCTCTGGGCTGATGGCTCAGAGCCTGGAGCCTGTTTCCGATTCTGTGTCTCCCTCTCTCTCTGCCCCTCCCCCGTTCATGCTCTGTCTCTCTCTGTCCCAAAAATAAATAAACATTGGAAAAAATAAATAAATAAATAAATTGCTAGTTTGGATATATGTAGAGGTACTTTTCATTGAAATATTAAAATGTTTGATTCATAGGTTATATATAAAGTAAGTGGGTTTTTAAAATTATTTTAAGATAGGGGCGCCTGGGTGGCTCAGTCGGTTAAGCATCCAACTTCGGCTCAGGTCACGATCTCGCGGTCTGTGAGTTCGAGCCCCGCTTCGGGCTCTGGGCTGATGGCTCAGAGCCTGGAGCCTGCTTCCGATTCTGTGTCTCCCTCTCTTTCTGCCCCTCCCCCGTTCATGCTCTGTCTCTCTCTGTCTCAAAAATAAATAAAAAACATTAAAAAAAAATTTTTAAAAATAAAATAAAATTATTTTAAGATAGAAATAATTGGTTGAATTAGGCTATCAAAGTAAAATATTGTAGAAGTACTACTAAATGAATAGATTTTATAGTACCAGCATAAGTTGTATTGAATGCTACTTTATTTACTATGAGTTGTGTGAGAATTAATGTTCTCTAACTGTATAGCTCCTGTAAGATAGTTAAAATTATAGCTCCAGTAATGTTGACATCATTTATTTAAGGTACTAAGTTAAACATTCGATTCAAAATTAGGAGAATCTTCATGAATGTAGCAATATAATTTGGCCTGATGGCCCTGCCTGAATATTATTGAGAAAGATTGTGGTCGTTGACAGGGCATTTTGTAAAGCATCCTTGAAGGAAAGAGAATGTGTAAATGCAAATTAATGAATGAAAATACAACATGTATTTTGACATATTATGACGTATAATTACTTCTCACAGAAAAGTTATCCAGACTAGTAATTTTGATGGTAAATATGTAGGAACAATCAAGAATCTTTCGGGTTAATAGTCAAGTTTCAGATAGTTGAGTTACAGTTCTTTTGCTTGTTATGACATAATTTACTTTGTCAGAGGTAGCTCTTTCTGATTGGTCACCTTATTTGAAAACAACCTGATTGTCTATCAGCAGGAGAATACTTGAATAAATTGTGGTTCACCTCTACCATATTCTATTATACAGCTGTTTGTTTTTTTGTTTTTAATAAGTTCTAGCACTGTCTTGATTTCTAGAGGTATTTGTGATTCATTGATAAATGCAGAAAGCAGAGTTTGAGAGTAAGACCCAAGATTTGTAAAAACAACCAACCACAACAAAGTCCTCTATGGATGCAATATTAGGGAGGACTCTTATTTAGGTTTTCATAAAGAACTTCCGTCTCCAAGGAAGCAAAGTCTGGGAAGGATCATTGCTGTTTCTATCCACCCTTTACTCACAGGAGGAAAGGGCAATAAGCATTCCCTACTCAAACATGTATTATTTTAGTAACTTTTAAAAATTAAATAAAAATGTAAAAAATATATCATTTTTCTGATCACAGTTTCTCTCCTTAGTTTTACCTTGCTTTTAATTTTTTAGGTAGCGTACATTCATTTTCAAATGGACGAGCTGGTTATAGCCATCAACATCAGCATCGACATAGTGGACATGAACGAGAAGAAGAAAGAGGAGATGTATGTTTATGATATGATTAGAAATCTTCAAAATGGCACATTTCAGTTCAGGAAAAGCAATTAGGGTTGTCTGAAAATAGGGCAAGTTGTTTTAAAAGGAAGTAATGAGTTTTCCCTTACCAGAGGTATTCAATAGAGACTAGACAGTCCTTCAGGGATATTGCGGGAGCAGGGGTAGAAGTCAAGGTAAGAGGGTGGTGGGCAAAATGATACCTTGGAGTTTGGTGTTCTATGATTCTGATGAAGATACCCCTGCAGAGTGCATGCTTTGAAGAAAGCTTCTCGTTGTTGGTCCTAAAGAATTTAGAATTAATACGGAAAAACTTAAGTTAGAAGTTACTTTCCTTGTTCTAATACAGTTATACCCAATTGCATATAGCACTTAAATCACATGAAGTGGAAAGGTAAATAGAAAGAACGCTGGACTAGAAATCAAAAGGCATGGGCCCCAGCTCTGACACTCGTCTGCTTCATGTACCACTCTGAAATTCAAGGGAAAAATAGTTTTGCAAGAGAGAGAACTTCTTCATCTGTCACATGAGATCAGTTTATATCAGTGTTTTCCAAATCAGGATATCTACAGATCTACATATCTGCATATCTCCACCTGGAAAGTGGTATTTTTAAGAATCACTCCAGGAAGCTGGTATGATCAGGCAGATTTGAAAGCACCGAGCCAGATGATGTCAAATGTCCTTTCTGCCTCTAAAAATATATGACAACTGTTGGATTATTGACAACTACAGTTATATTACAATTTGTTGTTTTTTGATGATTTTTTTATAGGGAGGTTTTTCTGTGTTTATCCAGCTGATGCCCATTATTGTATTGATCCTCGTGTCATTATTAAGCCAATTGATGGTCTCTAATCCTCCTTATTCCTTATATCCCAGATCGTAAGTAGCTAAGTGAAGTTTTACACACACACAAAAATGTTGTTTCTTATCTAGCTTCCTTTAAAGGGCCTTGTGCTCTCTTCAGCTTTTAAGTAATTTTCTATTGCTACAAGTGTACCAGATTTTAAAATTTCTAATTTAAAAAAATCGTTGCTCAAGTGATAAATTTGTATTATCTTGTTAGTTTACATTTCTGTTCTATTGTGGATAAAGACAGAAGTACTGTATTTGAGCTTAATAGCAATTTATGTAATAGGTAATATGATGAGATCAAAGACAAAAAATAGTTTGAAAGACAAAAGTAGAATTATAATTGATGTTACATAGATTTGTATCATTGAGGGGTAAACCACTTCACTCTTTTGTTTATGAAATGTTAATTAAATAAAAACAAATATTACTTTTTTGGTATATGAGGTATTTTTCCGCAATATACTTTATATAAGATCAGGACATAAAGGAAATTTAATGCAGCATCCATTCTAGAAAACTTTAGTGTAATACAGTGAACATACAAGAAACTTGATAAAATCATATTGCCAGTGATTTTACAGTATTAAAAGCAGATTGGTGTAAAAATAAGAAATAACTTTTCCTTTCTTCTAAATAAGATTTTAATTAACTAAAAATTGAAAGAACTTATAAGAACGTATATTAAAATAGGATTACTTTTTTATTACATGAATGGTGGTTTTAGGCAATTTGAAATAATGTAAACAAATGATTACTAATGTTAACTTTTTAATTATTTTTAGTTGTTTTGTTAACTTGGTTTGTAGTAGCAGGATCAGAATGTATAATTTTAATTAAAAAAAATAATGATCAAGCATTTCTTTTGCAGTGGATCAGGGCAAACTATTAAAATGCAGACAGAAAACTTGGGTGTCGTTTATTATGTCAACAAGGACTTTAAAAATGAATATAAAGGAATGTTATTACAAAAAGTAGAAAAGAGTGTGGAAGAAGATTATGTGACTAATATTCGAAATAATTGCTGGAAAGAAAGACAACAAAGTAAGTTTATGAAATGTTTAACATTTAAAAACTTATTCAGAGTCTTTGGAATTGATTATTGTAGATTTCCCTCCTCCAGAAATGTTCTAGAATTGCCTGGCACATAATTGGAGCTCAGTACTTGAATACGACAATACATTTTAATGTACATGTGGCCTTATAATAGTATAAACACATAGTTTACATAGAAAGCACTTAATAAATGGTATGTATTGTTATCAGTAAATATTTGGTTGAATAAGTGAATAATTCCAAATTTCATTGTATTTAAGTTGTTGTCAATTGTAACATGCATCATTATTTTATGTATCACTATAAAAGAAAAAATTCTGGTACATTTGTTATGTCATCGATTTTAATATGCATCCTGTTTCAGAGTGAAGTTTGAAACTCTTCATTAATTTAGCTTAAGCATTTAACACTTAATGTATAATGAGTTTTGTTGACATTTTGTTTTATTCTGTACGTGAAGTCCATGGGAACACTTAATCAATTTGTTTAGCCTTTTCCAGCCTCAGCTTCCTTAATTTAAGAAGCAGTTCCACCCATAAAAAGCTTGACCGTAAGAATTTGCAGAGATGGTGCATGTGAATCTAGTGTTGTTACGGTTATTGTTTTTCTGACTGTTACATACAATAATGTAGACCATATAAAGTAGACTTTGGGGTTAAACAAACTAAAGTTGAATCCCAGCTCTGTAATTTTTCGCTGAGTGATTAGGGCCAAATATTCTAACCTTCATGAATTTCCTCCCTCAGGTGTGAAATGGGTGATGCTGACTAGTGGGAAGAGGAACTAAGTGTCATTTGTATAATACTTAGTTTCAGTCACTGTCCCAAGCACTTTATATATATTAACTTATTTAATTTCCACAACACCACTCTGAAGTTATTATACCCATTTTATATATGACGAAGCTGAGACACAGAGAGATTTAGTAACTTGCCCAGGGTCATAGAGGTAGTCTGTGATTCAAACCAGCCAGTCCAGGCACTGTGCTCTGTAATCTTCTCAATAATGCCCAACTTTATGGGTTTGTCATAAAAATTAAATCAGACAATAAAGTGTTTCACATGGAGTAAATGCCCAGAAAAATGGTAGCAGTTATCATCATCTCCCATCCAGTAGGGAAGAGTCGATAAAACATAACCTTTGTATACTTCCAAGAAAGTTCTTGTCTCTGACTTTGGAGTCCTCATCTATATAGTGGCAGTTAGAAGAGAAAGTGGAAGTTAGAAACCTTCTTGGTTTCCAAGTCTGAGTCTGTGAAATCCGTCTGGTCTCAATGTGGAGAAGGTTATACTAGACTATTGGTTTTCAACTGGAAGTGATTTGCCCCTGCTTCACAATATGTTTGGTAATGTCTGGAAACTTTGTGTGTGTCACTATGGGGTGGGGGTGGGAGAGATTGCTGCTGGCATCCAACAGACCAGACTGGGGCCGTGGTCTGCTAAACATCCTGCAGTGCAGGGGACAGCCCCCACAACAGAGTTCTCTGGACCAAAATATCGATATCACTGAGGCTGAGAAACTCCATTAGCGGAAGGTCTTAAGGACAGAGCACACCAAAGATTATTTATTTCATTTTATTTCACTTTTTGTCTCTAGTGCCTTGCACAATCCTTGGCATATCTTGGCATATCGTAAACTTTTGATGGATATATGAATAATTGGATGAAAGATTAATGAATTCATAAGAATGAATGTACGAAAGACCTGCGTATTTTGTGTTAAAAGAACGACTAACACATTAGATCTATCACCTTTCAAATACGAATTCTAATCTTCAACCACATATGGGTGATTTGGGGATTATGCATACTTAAATTCTGTTACCTTAAATAATTGGGAAATTGGCTGAATAAATAGAAAAAAGGAAGGAAAAGATATTCATGTTTGTGGAAGATAGTGTAATGTTATGGTAAGAGTGAAGGCTCTGAGACTGCCTTGCAAGATAAGATCCTGGCTCCACCAATATGTGACCCAGACCAAGTTACTTAACCTCTCTAAATCATAATTATCTCATCATTAAAATGTGGACCATAACAGATCATATATGTTACACTTAACATAATATCTTGCATCTGTAAGTGTTCAATAGTATTACTTATGGTATTTATAATCATTTTTTTATTCTATCCATACTATGAACCAAGTGTTTTTGCTTGGCATACTTTAATTTAATCTTTTAGTAATCTGGCAGGATTGGTATTAATGTTCACAGACTTTTAATCTGTTCTGTTTACCAAGTTGTCTGCAGCTATATTGTACACAGTTAACATGTGTGTCTTTTAAAGTTACTATCGGAAGGAAATTTTAACTAAAATCTGATTTTAGTAAGTCATTATTTACAAAACCACTTGGTTGCATTCAAGAGTATCAGTGGAACAAGACAAAAAGACTAAAGACTTAGAGACTAAAAAGAAATGACAACTAAATACAATGTATGATCCTGGATTGGCTCCTGGGCGGGGAGGGGAGGAAATGGCTGTAGTGGACATCCTTGGGACGACAGGTGAAATTTGAGCATGGACTGTACATTAGATAAGAGGATTCTACTGTTGTTGAATTTCTGAATTTGAAAATTGTATTGTGGTTATGTAAGAGAATGCTCTTGTTAGGAGAAACATGCTGAAGTAATTAGGAATGAAAAGTCATGACATCTGCACCTTATTCTCAAAAGGTTTTGTAAAGTAATAATCACCACCACAACAGTAACAGCCTTTATTATTGAGAGAGCTGAAGCAGATTTGACAAAAGGTGAAGAATTGGTCAATCAAGGTCTAAAGGGTTTTAGAGCGTTCGTTTCAGTACGCTTTAACGTGGGTTTGAAATTTTCAAAATGAGATTTAACAAATTTAAGTGAAGATGGAAGTGGGAGGAGCTCGGTATGACACTAATTAATCCATTGATTGAAAGTTTTACTTGTTGATTGGGATAAGTTCATCTTGTTTTATAAATTGATGTCATCAAAAAGGTTGTTGGCCAATAGATTTCTTTTTACCAGAGTTTTTCTGTTCTGTAGTCACTTTTAACACTGTGTAATGTCTAGATTGGTAAAGTAGGTGTTTTATAAAACACAAGCAATAATTTGAAGTAATGGAAAGAATAAAAGGGTAGCGGTTTGGAGGTTTGGCTTGGAATCTAGACCCTGCTGTTGACTAGCCCTGTGAACTTTGTTTTATCTACCTCATCTGGGAAGAAACATCTGCGAAAGGATTTCACAAATGCTTCATTTGTAAATAAAAGGGATGGAGCGATTTTGACTGAGTTGTTAAATCCTAGCTGGATTGACGGAATAAAGATCTGTTCTGAAGATCTTTGCCAGTAGAATACACTCTTACTGTGAGTATTATCTTGAATGTGGTCCTGACTGATGTCTTTTACTTTGGCCATTGTTTTCCAGAAAGTAAGTGACTTTTTTCTGGGTCTTGTTACATTTTTTTCCTAAGTGCCCCCACCCTTTGGAAGTGTTAATAAACAGTGAAATGACTGAGAGTAACGGGAAGATAGCAAGGAATAGTTCCCGGGAGATCTCTCGGAAGATTCCCATTTGTTCTTTTTAGTAATGCTATCCACATACTGAAGAACATCTTAGTACTTATTTGCTAAATACCACTACTATGATTCTGTAGCAAGCTATTTTCTGTTATGTCTTCCTTCAGTAAGGTTTTTTAAATTTAATTTTTATTTTTTTATTATATATTTTTTTAAAGTTTATTTTTATTTATTTTGAGAGACAGAGAGCAAGCAGGGGAGGGGCACAGAAAGGGCGACAGAATTCCAAGCAGGCTCTGCACTGTCAGCGCAGAGCCTGATGGGGGGCTCAAACTCATGAACTGTGAGATCATGACCTGAGCCAAAATCAAGAGTCAGACGCTTAACCTACTGAGCCACCCAGGTGCCCCAAGATTTTTTTTTTTTTAATTCAAGTGAACTCAGGACAAGATTTCAATTTTTTCTACTCAAGTCCTGGCATAATGAATTAATCTGAACCCTTAACAAGAGGTCACAGCAAAAACAACCACTAGCAGGATTGAATAGCATATGATATCTTCAGGATGAAAGGTCCAGACGATGCTTTAGAGCAGTAGTTTTTAAACCACTGGAGACAGGAGTGAGGGAAATGGTTGATAGGATTTTATTTTCATTTTCTTCCCAGAACAGCTCTGTGTTGGTTTTACATGCTAGGCTTCCAAAGGCTTTTAGGAGGAATACTTGGATTTCTTTCTTAAAAAAAAAAAAAAAAGTCAGTTAATAGAAATGTATTGAAGGGCTTCTATTAACCATCATTTCGGTTTAAATAACTAGGTGACCTAAATTAGTATCTACTTAGCAAAATGTTTTTGTTTGTTAACAGAAACAGATATGCAGTATGCCGCAAAAGTATACCGTGATGATCGTCTCCGAAGGAAGGCAGATGCCTTGAGCATGGACAACTGTAAAGAATTGGAGCGGCTGACCAGTATTTATAAAGGAGGATGAACTGGGATTGTGTTTATACCTTCTAGTGTACTCTTAATTTCTTCCGTAAGTAAGTTTAGTTTCATCATGAGAGCTAAAGAAAAAGATTGGATGTTAACAACGAAACTGAATGGTTGGTCCCTGAAATCTTGGACTGTTTGTGACCTACTGGCTCCTTTAAATAGTAAGGAACTGAAAACTAAAAGTAACATTTTCGTTATGCTTCTGCAGTTATTTTCACTTTAAAAGCTTACATTATTCCTACATAAAATGTTGTGAGAAAGGATTATCACACCTGTGGCAGTTTCCAGTTTTAGTAGTTCTCCATGTTTCCTTTTGTCATGTAAATATTTCTGGAATGATCATTTTGTGTACATACGGGTTACTACATTTTTATTTAAATTCTTTTGGCATTTAGCTCCATGAGACACTTTAGTTTAAACTGATAGAATAAATGTCCTATGAGAAAATTACGTTTTCCTTGTCAGATGTCGAATGTTGGTGGAGTTTAAGCAATGAAACTTTTTCAAAAAGAAAAGAAAAAACAAAAGCTGTTTAACTTTGTGTAAATCTTGTAGCATTATCAGCTTAGAGGGAATTGATATTTTTAATATTGCCATTATATTCCAGAATATATATTGAGATAAATGAACTGGTGTAGAGTATCAGTTTGCTATTTAGTTTTATGAATTGCTAAGCCATGCATAGAAATGAAATGCTATACTGATAGATTTTAAAGAAAATATGAGGAAATGGCTATGTAGATATTAAACAGAAAGGGTCTTCAACAGTAAATTGCACTTATGTCATTTGCAATTCCAATAATTATAAGCCCCTCAAATGTTTATATATCTGTCATTGAAGGCTGCTAAGATTTATGAAGAAGAAGACCCACCTGTTTTGTCCCCCATGGAAATTTTAGTTTTTTCTTAGTTATCATTTAAGCAGGATCTCAAGTAAATGGGTTCTTCTACAAATGAGTAATAAAAAAAAAAAAATACTACTAAAATGAAGCTTCGTGCCTTTTAACCTGATTGCCAACTCTTAAACATATAAGTAGATTACAGCACACTTATTTGATCAGAGCATGATCTGTTTGGCCATATGCAACAGTGAGCAGAAATATAGCAGCAGGTAGAATAGTGATTTATAGCAAGTTATCCTTACAAAATTCTGAGCTAAAAATCTATTCACCATTGAGTAATTCAATTAGTCTAATAGGAATAAGCTCTCTGTAATTCAATCCATAATATAAATTAGAAAAATAAGCTGGAAATTGAAGTTTTTGGTGCCTGTATATTGAGTATGAACCTATTTGATTTCTAGTCTAACAGCTGTAATATTTTAATGATTTTGCTTCATACTCAGTTAATGGAACACAAATGCATCTTTGGTAGTTTTTTTTTGGTATGTGAGGGGATGCCAGTTAGAGTGGCAGTGTTCTTTTATTTAAAGATTTTTTTTCTGAATGTAGTTAATTTTATAGCACCTGTTGAATAAAACCGCTAAAATGATCATTCTTTTTAAAAATATTCTCTGATATCCCCTTTCCAGGTGAATCAGTAGAAATACCTGAATGAATTAGTGGGTTAAACGAAACAACATACTGTTCCAGGAAAACTGGACAGCTAAACCAGTTTTCTTTTAGAAATATTTAAAGAAATAAAATAATAGCAGTGCTAAAAGAAAATACAAATTTAAATATGTTCTTGAGCCTGTAGAGTGATTTTTTTAAAAAATAAGGTCATAGCATTCTAATTAACTTTGAAAGTTCATGTACATCAGAAAACTTACAAAAATTTAAGAGAAAAAATCTCATCCTTTTATTTTTCCAGCCTTAGTGGGAAATTTACACTATTGTGATTGATGCTAATGTGAACTGAACTCTTGTTGAGTGATTCTTTTTCCCTTAATCTCGGCTTTTTAAGGGGATTCATGTAGTTATCAAAGGAAGTGAAGTTATACATTATGGAGTCATGTGTGGCTTTTGGACAGTATTATATTTCAGTTGCATTGCTGCATTCCATCACATTTCATAAAATGTTTGGGGGAGTGTGTTTGAGAAAATAAAATTTTCAGACAACTGTGTGAAATACCTGATTGAGTGCCTGATAATTTAAGCCACGTATAAAGTATGCAAGGAAAGATTAAGTCCTTAATGTCGTCTATATTTTGGTGTGAAGACCCAACCAAGTGTCTTAGAATTTGGGGTTAATTCTACAAAGTAAGAGGATTTTAACTATCTTGAGATAGAGGATGTTCATATTTTCTACTCTTCTGATAAAAATCTCAACTTTTACCATCTTATTTTTAGCTACATGAGCTTTGCAATTTCATTTGATAACTTGTACTATTCATTTTAATCATTGCCTCAAAGCTCTCAATCTCTGAGTATTGCTTTACTAGCTGTTCTAACTAGTATTTGAGAAGTTTGGCCGCAACTATATTTATTAATGCTTTACATTTTTATCCCTTTTTACATACATACATATAAACATCATTGTCCTTGTAAGGATTTGGGGGAAAGTAAATAGTATCTTTTCTCCTCCTTTTTTGATTCCTTAGTTCCCAGATAGACTGGTGCTAGTCATTTATAAGCTTCAGAATTTATTTTGATCAAATCTGAGAATGTCATTCTCAATGAGAAAATTCAAGTTTTAATCCATCTAGTATGTAAAAATAATATATTTTGGGGACGGATTGCATTTGAATGCTTAAATAAGTATTTGTTTCATAATCATTGCATTTTTATTTATAATATAGACAGATTTGGTAGAATAAATCCTTAAGGCGTATATATGCCAATGCATTAAGCCACTCTGCTTTTGTGTCAGCTCAGGTGTTCACAAGAATAGGAATGTGGAGTTTCAGCCCTTCACTGTAATTGCACTTTTATGCTTAAGTTTTCTTCCTGTTAAATCTTCAGCTACACTAGTATGTAAAATAGTGTATTGTGAGAGAAATGATTACCCTCTTCATTTCTCTTTGTTGCTCTGTTGTAATAGTTTTAAATGCATCTGTTTTTTAATAACTGTGACATATTCTTAATAACGTATTCCCACATATTTCATTAAAAATTAAATCTCCCGCTTGTGTTAAGACAATGAAACATTTTTTGATGTTGACTTGAGAACCAAATGAGCCATCTTTCCAGTTAAGTAAGTGTTACGGCAGAGGACCATATAGTTCAAAAGGAGAATTTGTGCATTTATTTAGTTTCCCCAAATGAAGGTTCAGGACTACCCATGTTACTATCTGTCTTCCTACTGAGTGTAGCAAACTGAAAGGGCATCATAATCTTTTTTTTTTTGTCTGAACAGAAAAAGTCCTGAAAATGAACAATAAATCTGAATTTTAATCTTTACTAAGTCGCCGAAAAACCATGTCTGTTGGCACGTTGGACAGTTGCGTAGTTAAAATCCATAACATCCTCTATAAACCAATGAAAAAGGAAAGAATAGTATAACAATAACTTATAAAACATTTTTTGATTTTAATTTTTAAGTACAAAGAAAAAGTGAATAGAATGAGGATCTTCAAGGAATTCTTACACATCCCTTTAATAATCTGACAGGCAACACAGTCCTAGAATTCAGGCTTCCTTTTTGGTTTCCATTACTATTAAATAGACACTTTCATGTAAATGGAAACATTTTCCCTCAAAACATTAACTCAAAACATACTCCTTATATTAAGGATTATATAACCGCGTGTTTTGTAAGTTCCCTGTGTGTAACTTTTTCCTGTTGGTATATGATTCGTTCTCATTTAATTTTATTATCTGCTGGTTTTGGGGCCAATGGACTTGTGAATATTCTGTGGACGTGTCCATGTATAGGTGTATATATATATATATATTTTTCCAGCTAATACCTCAAATGTGTGATTGTTTAATATATACCACACTATGTTTGCACAGAGCAGGGCTTCCAGTAGCCATGGATATTCTTATTTCTAACTTTGAAAATCATTCCACAGAATTTCATTGGTGTGAATTCTTTCTATTGATCCGTTTCAAATTTTAAACAGAGATTCCTGTTATAAGGCTCATACTTCAAATATAACTGTATGTTTCTGTATCTAGCAGTGGAAATATGTCAGGGTAAGAAGTGTTTCTTGAAGTGTCTAGTTTAGTAAGTTTTTATTAACAATTGGGACTACTGGTCACCGGGCTGTCTACTGACTGCACAGTGATGACACCCGGCATGAATTTGAGCAAGTCTTACTCACTTTGGCACAGGAGTCAGGCCATTCCAATCTGATTCTACTATGCCATTTAAGAGTGCCACTAAAATAATAGAGGTTTTCGAGTGACACTGTAGTATTTTAAGCATCGATTTCAAAATGAATTGTTTTTTGAGTTGGCTGACCATACCAATGAGAAGAAAGAAACTCACTCATAAATGGTATTTTATAATTTACTTATATTAAGAAATGCTTCTTACCTGTTTTGGTTTTGGCTTTGTTTTTTGGATAGCTACATAAGACTTTTCCACTTAAAGTTTAAATCATGTGTTTTTTAAAGCTGCAGGTAGTTTTCAAGGTGTGATGGAATTTTAATGGAAGCCTTGTATAAGTTAAATGAAGTGATACTGGTAAAGGAGAGCTAACTTTATTTGTCTATAGTGCATTCAAGATTATACAATTAGATTTAAAAATGAAATGTCTGATTTGTAAAATACTTACTGTTATATCAGACTTATAAAATAAAATTTTCTGTGTGAGAACTCTGTTAAAGAAAATGCACTTGATTTTTAATGAATGTTCTGCTGAATGATTTGTGATGAATTTTTGTCTTTCAGTCTCTGCAGTTTATCTCAACATATGAATAAAAAGAAGGTCTGTTCTCACTGTAAAGGATTTGTTTTTCTCCTGTTTGATACTCTTAATATGCACTTTCTTTCATGCGTTCAACCATTCAACAAATGTCTGAATGCCTGCTGTATCCCAGGCAGTGAGCTGATTGCTGGGAATTAATCACTGAACAAGACAAACATCCTTATGGAGTTTATATCTAGCCA